CTCTCTCTCTCTCTCTCTCTGTGTCTCTCTCTCTCTCTCTCTCTCTGGTCTCTCTCTCTCTCTCTCTCTCTCTCTCCATTAGTCACTGTGATCGTGTATATGCAGATGGGATCATCGAGTATCCTACACGATACGATTGACACATAAAACTTTCTGCTTCATTTAAATAAGTTTGGCTTAATTCTGAACAAAATGTTTGATCTTGTGACTGCTCGTCTTTCTTTCCCTGTCTGATTTAAAGTGTTTTCTATCTTTAAATATCAGCTTGAACTTTAGAGGTGTAAGTTGGTTCCAAAGTAATCCCTGCAGGGAGATGCTCCCATTGAGTCTGTGTTTATCATCCCTGACAGGCTCTGATTGTTATTCTAAGTGTCTGACAACATTGGGGAAGGGATCCCTACAGAGACTGACCTTTTAGACGTAAGGTGTTTTTTATTTATTTATTAAAACTCAGCATAAAGCTTGTTACATCACTCTCCTCAACGCCACTAAACTTCAATGACATCAGCAATTATTTTTCCAGCTTGTCAACCACTTCCTCAATCTGTTAACTCATGTGTGTTCTGTTGGTTCTTTTTAATTTAGTTTGAAAAACCCCACAAAAACACAGAAAACTAACCAACGTGTCAGCTGTACTCTGCCATGTCTGTGTTCTGTCTTTGATAGAAGAGTCTGGTGGCTTAAAGGGAGTGATGTAACTGTGTGTTTCCTGGTTCTGAGCACAAAATAAAATCTTCCTCTACTTAAAAAAAGTCTGTTTTTGTTCTGTTTCTTTCTGTAATGTGATCAGTCTCTTACAAAATGACAAGCTGAGTCTGTCAGTGGCAAAAACAGAATATATGATGCGATACTGTATGATATCATATGATATGATACCAGATGAGACGAGACAAAACACAAGACGTACGGTACAATGGTTTAGTACGATGGGATAAGAAAAGAGATGACACGGGATGACACAGAAAGAGACTGTTTGATTTGATTGGATACCATACAACAGCCTTTCCCAAACTTAAGACTGCCGCGGCCCACTTTGAAAGACAAAAGTTCGCCGGGGCCCGTTATAAAATAAAAACTATGACTTTAACTTTCAGTTAGGGTAAATTATTGGACATGACAACATGATATTATGGCAAGATAGACACAAAACGTTTACTGAACAATATGTCCATGAATAGTCATGATAATCCTTCCTAATCACTTAAAGGGTTGACTCATGGTAAATCATCATTATTCTTTTATTTCTTTTATTTTTTAGGCCTGCCTGCAGTACCCACATGGCCCACCAGGGGGCCGCGGTAAGGTAAGATGAGAAGAGACGTATGGTACGATATGGTACAATAACACAACACAAAATGATATGAAAAGAGATGAGATGAGGTGAGACGATACGATGGGAAGAAACACTTTATTGTCCCCTTTGGTAAAATTGTCTTGGATTCCTAGTACGGCACAAATGTAGCTGTCTACATAATATTATCAAATCAACACAGAGAAGCACATGTCGGGCATAAACCCCAACATATCAAGTCAATAAGATCGAAAACATCTGACGTGATTGCTCAAACTCGACATCCTCAAGAAAGACTATTTAAAAGTTTGATTGAAGTGGGTACAAACAAGCCAAAAAAAAAAAAAACACACACAGAGTGGAGGATGTGAGACGAGGCGGACATTACTCTCTGAGAAGAGACTGCTCATCGAGGACAGAGCGTTCTCATATCGGGCACATTTTCCTTGAAAGATTCAATTGCAGCCTCTTTCACAGCTAGCAAAATCAATCAGCTCGAGCATTTCTCAAACCTTTCAGTAACTTAGACCGACAGTAAGTCGAACATTTATGTGATCATGATGCTTCTTACAGATGGGAGCGATGGCCGAAGCCAATCTGTGACTTTTCCTTTTAAAACATAGCGTAGGTTTTTACCTTCTGTCAGGCAGGATGGGAACCCTCCACCCTTTGATGAAGCTCAGGTTGTTGTCGGAGAGTTCCACCTGCAGGGGGAGTTTGGGCACCCACACGGTCAGCTCCAGCGGCGCGCTCAGGTGTTCGTAGCTGAAGATGACCCTCGCGCTCATGGATCCCCGCGTCTCCTTCCCGTTGACGAACACATAGTCGCAATTCATGGACACCTAGGACAGATCAGGGTCACAAAGTCAGAACCATCTATATGGTAATGGTCACGTCAGGTGGGGTGGAGGATCTAAGTGATAGGTGATGATATACGGCACCAGTATGGACGCAGCTGTCAGAGCCGCAATTCATCACGCAGCATTTCAAGGTTGATACCTCCTGCAGAGCAAATATCAAGGATCTCTTAGGCGTGTGAATGTGATGTGAAAGTTCAGGGCACATAAACAATCTCTGCCGATACATTTTGTCTGGTACAAAAACCAAGCAGCCAGCCTCTCAAGCAGAACCAAAAAAACATGATTACATTACAGCAGTGACGTTTCAGCCTCTTTACACTGACTCCAGGTTTTAGAGTAGATTTAAAGAATTGACTTAATGCCTCTGACAACATCTCCTTCTCCTTCATGCCTGATCTCTTAGTACCGTAAAGGATTCACACTAAAAAGGGACATAATGTTTGCTTTGAGGGCTCCGAGGCTCCGAGGCTCCGAGGCTCTGGAACAATCTGTCGACTCCATCGTCAATCTTTTTTTGTTTTGTTCCTCAAAAAATACTTTTGTGTTTTTTTTTCTGTACTTTGTGTAGACTCACTGCCACTGGTTTATTTTTAATTTTAAACCTCACAATGTTGTTTTAGTTTTCTGGGTTTGAAACCTCTTTGAAATGGCAATTTTGAGATGTGTTCTGTAAAAAAAGAAGAAGCTATTTGCACTGATAAAGTGGTGCAAACTAAAGGTCCTTATTGTCCTTATTTATTTGATTATTGTATGTCTGTTCTAGAAAAAACAAGGTACATGCATCTTTTTAGAAAGTACCCTTAAGTACCCGAACCTACAAGCTGTCCACTTCAACTGAGTTTTGTAACACAGGCCCCAAGAGTCACTGCTTGGTCCCAGAAGTATCTAGAAAGCTGAAATTCAAACATGGCGCCCTCCCTAGACAGCAGATGATGCTTACAAAGTTTGGTGGTTACTTGATTGTTGAGCTTGGACCATGTGGCACCTTGCTTTCACCGCAGTATTCTTTGGCAACTTATATGTACTTCCAGTTGAAGTTTGAAAAAGCTTATCACTCTAGAAGCCATGATAAAGCTATTTCAATATTATGACTCACCCTTGGGGTCCTCCCAATGACCCACCTGTGAGCAAAACATCACAGGTGGGTCATGGGGGGGACTGAGTGTGAGCCCATTCAGGCAATTTGATTTTCTGTCAAAGACTCAGGCTGAGTGAAGAGTACGATATTTATGGGTCCTGTGGTTGAGACAAATTGAATTGATAGGACCCTACAGCTGTGTTTCATGTTAAAGAAACCTCCTTTTCATTTCATCTAGATATGTGAAATTTGGTAGACATTTGAAGCATGTCGAAATCTACCAAAAAAAAAAAGCCTGTTGGAGTTCTGTACCAGAAAAACCAACAGGAAGTCTTCCATTTAGAATTCATCAGGAAACTTAAGTATACGTTCTGCCATTTCCTGCAACAACTCTCACTTTCATAATTTTTTTTAAATGTCTTTTATTTATCCTTTATTTTAGCAGGGAGGACCCACTGAGACCGAGGTCTCTTTTCCAGGGGTGCCCTGCAGCAATACAAAAATAAAAACAGCACAAATATAAACATATTAACAGTTAACAATAATAGCATCTAGACACTGAAACACATATTCACACATGTAAACCATGTCCATTTAAATGCATTCACATTGTGAAACAGTTGCAATTTCCTTCCCGAGGTAGTTTGGACACGAGGTCTTTAAAAACGCTGAATGAAACAAGAGAGGGAAATGCAATCTCAATGCAGCCCATGAACAGTGAATATGTATTTTAATGACTATCTCCATGACTAAGTAGCACCAGAAATTAGAGGGAACATAATCCGTATGTCATTTGTAACTTGGATGAAAATATTATGAAAATGAGTCTATATGTTAATATGTAGCCACGGTGGATCAGAGCTTCCTGTTCTTTATCTACTGAGGCTCCAAAGTCTTTTTTTAATTCCACCGGTAGTCTCTCTTCTCCGGCCTTGATGGCATGGTGCAGAGAGGCACTGCTGCTTAACAGTGCTCGCAGGCTGTGGAGGCTGTTCTCTAATCTAATTTGCATCTTTTATGCAGCCGAATGTCAAATTAGTGCTTCTAAGTAACGCAGAGTTCGTTAAGCATGTACACTGCAAATTAGGCATGCAAGGCACGTCCTCACCCCAACCAGCCCCTCCTGCCTACCCTCTGCATAATGATCTATGAACAATTACACAAGACGCCTAATATGCCAACAGAAGCTTTTAGGCAAACACATAATTCATATCACATGAAGGCTGACAGCAGTGTGACATTTCACATGAACTTTGGATCATAACACCTACATGGCACATTAATAAACATATCCACACATTTCACCTTTCTGCAGACAGTCGTGTAATGTGATATAATCTGTGGATCAGCCATGGCGCAGAGAACTCAATATATGGACATTTCTAAATTTAAATCCCAGCAAATGCCATTTTTAACTTAAACCCATTCTTTAGCTTTTCCCATCCAGTCAAAAAAGCTCCAGCTCCATTTGAATTATCATAAATACTTGTCCCCCTCTAACACTAAATTATTAACCGCAATGGATCTGGAGGGCTTTGCTTTTGGGCTCCCATGGAAGATTTATCTAGTGGTGGGAGGTAGCTGGCATTGTAATCAGAGGATCTAATCTCCCACAAATGGAGGTCGGGCTGGCCGGTCTTCTCAGGGCTGGGAATTCATCATAACTGGGCGGAGGTCCGGGTAATAGAATTCCCCCCTCGATGCAAACGGAGTGAAGGGTGGGTGGTGGAAGGTCTTCTAAAGATGACAGTCTGCTCCCCTCCGGTTTCGGCTGAAGCAATTGTAAAAGGTTTGACCTTTTTTGGCTAACGCTGCTAACCCGCTTATGTGTGTTGTTGTTCTGTTTGCTCGTGTGCAGACCTTAGTGTTGGGGGGCGTCTGCTACAGCTACCAGTTGCTTCATGCTTGATGAATTTTGAAATGCAGCAGAGCTGAACAAGGGAGCGATCTAGTCAAGTTATTTAAGCTGATGTGAAGTACAAATTCAACTTTTATAAAAGAGATGTATACATCGGCAATACTGTACAAAAACACCAATCTTTGAACCAATCAGATATCGTCTGACAACAATTTGGCATCTGGGAACAACTCAACTCAACTTTATTTATATAGCACCTTTCATACATAAAAACATGCAACCCAAAGTGCTTCACAAAAGAACAGAATTAAAAACACAAATAATGTCAAATACAAAGAATTGACATTTTAGTACTGACATGAAATAAAACAAAATATAATAACTCCTAACTAAAAGCCAGATTAAAAAGGCAGGTCTTCAGTTTGCGTTTAAAAACACCCAGAGAGCTTTCTGTTCTGATGTCCAGAGAACGTATCTCCGCTCCCAGTCAGAGTCGGCTTCCAGTCAGTTATTTAGATAAATGTTATGTGACCAAATGTCTTATTTTCTATGCACTCTTCACTATTTACAGTTTGACTAGCAACATTGTGAGAGTTTGTAGATGAGAAAAAAACAAACAAGACAGCATTGTTCACTGTAATTCCCTGCAGATGCAGAGAATTCCACGTCTGATTGTAGAGATTAATAAGAAGCTAGAGCGTCTTCAGATACCCAATGATGGCTTCCTGAAAGACTTCACAACCAATGTGTTCAGCTCCTTCTTCTCCAAACATGGACTGGACCTGCATGCATCAAATTACCACAGACATGTGTGTGTACAAAAACTACTCAGAGTACAAAATGAAAGAATTGTTCTTTTTCTTTAAAGATATAATATGTAGATTCCACAATCTCTCAATCTCGATCAGTACTGCAAAAACAAAAGATGACGCTGTGGTTTGCGGGGAATCATGGGAGTTCTCTCTGCTTAATACATTTAGATATTTTAATGTAAACATTGTCATAAAATTCATCATATTGTCCGTTTCATAACCCTTGGTTTTTTCCCCTCCCACAATTCCTGAAAAAAAGACTAAAATGTATTTTAACAGCTCACAACACTATGCATGATGAATCTAGTTTAACAGCTCTGCAGGAAACTAACGCAAAATGTGGTTTAGCTTCTACTTTGGTAACATGTTGTTCACTACTCCCAAACGCTGGCGGTCATACAAGCAAGTTACAAAAGAAAGAAGAAGAGGCTCAACACAATGACCCCGGCCACCTTGATTAATCACAGCGAGGCCGGCTCTATGAGAGTGAGTCCAGAACATCTGCCTGACATGTACTCCCTTCTTCCCTACAGCCAGAGCACAACACAGGAAAGCACAACACACACACGCTGGAAAAAAAACTAGCCTAAGCTGCAGTGCCGCTTCGGCTCCCGCGGCTATTGCTGCTGATAAACTTGGCCGGCTAATTGCAAGTCAAAAGCTGTTAGCGACTGTGGGTATCAGTGGCCCTGTGGGGCCTGCAGAGGAGGGCTTTCACACACTGAGCCGCCACATGCCGTCACACTGCTGCTAATGCACTGTGGCATCTTCCATGGTGCCAGCAGATTGCCTGGGTGGAGACTGATCATCAGAACAAGTGCAAGTGCCGCCTGCATCTGGTCGTGCACTGGTCACATCGCGCACAGCTTAAAGACAGGCGAGGTTAATAAAGGTGAAGACAACTAAGGGCTTTTCACACATTTATTCCATAACATTAACTGAATTAATTTCCCAAACGGTTCCAAGTGAAGGAAGCGGCTTCTGTCCTTCAAGCCAGCAATGCTTTCATTGATTTTTAGTGCTACACACTTCTTCTCTTGTTACACGTTCTGCACTAATAGTAGTTAAACATATTCAACACAAAATCCAGAGTGGTAATCCAAACATAGGCCTAATTGTATTAAATCTTCAGCGGTCAGACTTTCTGGAACTAATTAATGACCTTTACACTGTCCGCTTATTATTTACACATGCCTTCAGTTTTTTACTACTCTTACTTTCATAGCCGTGCATT